AACTTGCATTTTCCACTCAACCTAATGCTTTAAAAATCTATCCATGTTGCTAAATATAGATCTAATGCTTTTATCTTAAAAAAGTCTTTTTAAACTGTAATATCATATTCTGTCATATATATGTTACTTGATGTTATTTTTCCATTTCTCTACTGATGGATATTCAGGTTATTTCTAATTTTATGTTACTGCTACCAGTGCAGCCATAAATTTTGTTTTTTTTTGGACATATGCTAGAGAACGTGTCTGTGAGTTTTTCCAGGGTACATAAAACAAATGGGATTGCTGGATTGTGACTGGCAATTCAGTTTACGCTTCTAGTAGTATACAAGGGTTCCTATTTCCTCAGTCTCCAATTCTTGATATAATAGATCTTTAAAATTTTGTCACTCTAATAGATGAAAAATACCTCTGCTTTAAATTTAGTTTTCTTTGATTTCTAGTGAAATTGAACATTTTTTTCATATGATTACTGGACATTAAGGTTTTGCCTTGTGTTGAATTGTCTGTTCTTATTCTTCACTCATGTCAGGGGGGTGTTGGGGAGCAGGTTTTTTCCCTTATTGATTCCTAGTTAAAAATGACATTCTGGGAAGGGAAGATATAGCTCAGTGGTAGAGTGCATGCTTAGTATGTACAAGGTCATGGGTTCGATCCCCAGTACCTTCATTAAATAAAGAATAAATAAATAAATAAGCCTAATTACCCCCCCAAAACCAAAAAATCTTCTAAAAAATGACATTCTGGCTACTCAGCCTTCATCAGTTACATTTATTGCAAATATCTTCTCTGTCTTGTGTCTTTTACGTTTATTTATGGTAGCTTGTGGTAGAGGTACTGTAGAACCTGGGCTAGATATGAATCCTAGTTCCATTACTCATCACCTGTGTGGCCATGGACATCTTAGTTCCTCTCTAACCTTGCTCTCTATTTCTTCATCTACAAAATTGGAGGGACAATAGTATCTACTTCAGAGGGTTCCTGTGAAGATTAAATGAATTAAAATGCAAAGCACTTACTTGAAAGGAGACTGGTAAACAGAAAGCAATCAATAAATGTGCTTTTGACATATAGAAGTTTCAAGTTTTTTGTTGCTATACAAAATAGATTTAATTTTTTTTTGCTTTTATACATAATAGAATTTCATTTCCAAATCACATAAAATAGTCATGAAAGTACAGTACTCAGGGATGGAATTACAGATCCACAAAGTTGTCAGGAATAATCCTCTTTCAGGTTCACTGGTCCTTCTCTTCAATATGGGCCTTATCCTCATAATCTAAAATAGTTGCTAAAGCTCCAGCCATCAGAATCATGTTTCAGGCTGCAGGAAAGAAGGAAGGGCAGAAGTGTTTGTTCTTTTCAGTTAGCTTCATTGAAGTATAATTTACATGCTCTAAAGTTTACCCCAAAATTTTAAGTGTGTAATTTGATGAGTTTTGACAAATGTATACACTTGTGTAATTATCTTAGATGTAATACACATCTAAGTGCATGTTTAGTGTTATAAAAAGTTAAAAAGTGATGCACTGCTTTCCAATGGGGCTGCACATTTTGTGCTCCCACCTGCAGTGTATGAGGTCCAGTTGGTCCATATTCTTTCCAATATGTGGTATTGTCAGTCTTTTAAAATTTAGCCATTCTAGTGGATGTGTATTGGTATTTGTTACTTTAATTAGCATTTCCTAAATGGCCAATGATATTAAACAGCTTTTCCCGTGCTTCTTCGCTAATCATACATGAAAGTTTTAATTTTTGACATCACATTTATCCGTCCTTTCATTATTTTGGTTCTTTTTTTTTGTATCTTGTTTTAAAAAGCCCTCTCCTATCCTAGGCTCAAAAACATATTTTGAAATATTTTCTTCTAAAAAGTTTTAAAAATTGATTTTTCACAATTAGCTCTTTAATCCACCTGGAATTTATTTTTGAATCTTGTGTGAGGTAGGGACCTAGTTTAATTTTTATCTGTAACTAGGGATTCATTTGTGGAAAAAAAAAACCCAGAAAACCAAAAAGCAAAACCATTAACCTTCCTACTGATTGGTATCTTGTACTGTCATTTCTGCCACTTATCCACTTCTCTTATGTTCAGCTGTATTTTCTGTTATCTCTTACTTCTATGGTAGGAGTGACTTCAACATCTCCTGTATGCTTCTACCACCGTGAGTTTATTCTGGTCTTCCTTATTTCTTAAGTGCGCTTACCTTTTAGCTCCACCTTTCAAAATTCCACTCATTCTTCAAGGTCTAGCTCAAGTGGCCCTTATAGTCTTTCAGTAGCCTGTCATATGCCTCTTTCCTCCCCTGAATTAAATGAAAGGCCTCAGCACACCTCGTACTTTACTATAAGTCTTAGCTCATCTCTGATGCTACAATCATAGGTGTTTGTCTTCTGTAGCCTGACACACTGTAAGCCCTATGTGTTGCTGTGATTGACAGAATAATGTTTCCACTCCCATGTACTAGTTCCTGGAACTTGTGATTATCTTACATGGCAAAAGGTTTTGCCTAAGTGATTAAATCAATGACCTTGTGTTGGAGAGATTGTCCTGGCAGTCCCAGTCTAATCATGTGTGTCCTTAAAATTGAGCAACATTTACCAGCTGAGATAAAGCAGCAATAGAAAATGGATACACTTGCTCACCACAGAGTCCTCTATAATTTGAAGCAGGTCCTTAGATAAATGTGAAGTCCTCAGTCTTTGTTCATCAACCTGAATTGTGAAGCAACATGAAGCCTGCAACTGTAGAATGACTTCTTTAGGTTCTTACCACAGGGGTGGGGAGGTAACTAGCTTTATTTGCTTATTTATTTTTATTGGAGGTACTGGGGATTGAACCCAAGACCTCATGCATGCTAGGCATGCACTCTACCACTGAGCTATACCCTGCCCCAATTGCATCTAGATCTTTGTCACATTAAGTCTTTGCAGACTACTCAGCCTGGCCTTTCTTTTTGTTGGCAGCTCTGTGCATTCTGACATTGACTACAGTAGTGATAAATAAGTACTCAGGCTATGTACAGAGCTTCACCTCATTTACATGAGCTGACAGCTCAGTGGCAGAGAGTCCCAGAGAGAGAAGCCCTTTCCCGACAGTTTGACCTGCTCAGGGGTGCTTGATGAAGACTGTTTGATGAGGCTATTCACCAACCTTATCCCAGGGAAAATCAGTATGGGATTTGGAATTAGACATGTAAGGAACTTGGAATCCTAGCTTTGTTCTTTACTGTGACTTTTAGAGTAGGTTAGTAAATCTCTTGGAGTCTCAGTTTCCTCATACCTATGGTGGAAATTATACTCCCTCAAGTTGTCTTACAGAATGAATAAGGAGATACATGAGAAGTTATTAGCACATAGTAGGTGTTCAGTGACTGCTGACTTCCTATCCATCTCAGGTGCAACACCAGTAACAGAAACAATACAGCCTTCTGTTTATTTTGAAGAGTTGGCTGGAGGCAGGTTATGCAACACAACATTTGTTCTTACTTTCTATTTGTTGGTTTTGTGTTTCAAGACGTAGGTCTTTGGATTGCCTTACCCTGTCTCATATTTTCAGGTTTAGAGTTCTGTTTGTCATTCTGGGTTATTGGTTAAGAATAGCCCATGTGACATGGATGGCTTTTGTTAATCAAAAATTGAGAGGAGTATGGAAATAAGAGCCAGGGGGTATAGAAGAGATCAAAATAAAATAAAATAATAGTTTAATAATACCTGATCAAAAGAATAAAATAAATAGAATGGCAGCACTCTGGGATGCTTATTATTTCCTGACAGAGCCAGACCATCATTCTGGCCTTGAGAGCTGCTGTTGGACCACCCACGTTTGCTCAATATGAAGCCTGATATGAACAAACACATCAGGCTTATGACATTGATGGGAGACAAATAGCCTCTGGGGTACGGTGATGGGGAGGCCACCTTTAAATCTTGGTGTCTTAACACCACTTTGCTTGTCTTCACATACTCTAAGCCTTTGGTTCTCAATACTCAAGAATACACAAAAATCAACTGGTGAGTGCTAGTTAAAAATGCAGACTTCTGCACCTCTTGCTGCTGATGGATTCTGTAGATCTGAAGCGGAGCCCAGGGATCTGCATTTAATTAGCCACTACAGCTATTTCTGATCCTGGTTGCCATCCAGGTCAGTGTTTCAGGGAGGTGGGGTCCCAGGCATGAGCTCATCATTTATCAGCTATTTACTGAGTGCTAACTAGGTGTGAAGCCTTATAGGGGACATGGCCCGTGCTCACTAAGAGTTTATTTACATTGAGGGGGGGAAATAAGACTTGTATACAGACAGGATAACAGCTGCTGGCTCTCCAGATTAGAGTCAGACTTGCTTTTTCCTTGTTTGCATTTCACTTTGTGCAAGCCTCACTTTGGTTTCGAATGATTTATTCTAACTTTTGTATTCACTCATCTCTCCATCAGATTGTATATTCCTTGAGCACATGTGAGCTTCATTGTTGACCTACAGCAGTTTTGTTCCACCATCTTTTCTTATTCCTATAACTTTGATTTTGGCCATGACTCCAACCTTAGCACCGGTGGCAGTCTCTTCCTTGACGGACTGTTTTAGAAAATGGTTTGTCTTTATAGGAATTATCGGTCATACTTTATGATGTTACTGCTGCCATAACCAATTCCCTTTGTCATCTGTCCATCTTGATGGCCTGGAAGAGATAGAGCAAAGATCGGACATGCTCCATTGTCTTTGGTTCTCACAGCACATGGGACATGTCTGTGGCGATGTGGGTTGGGTGTCAAGGTGAATCTCATTGAGAAATACGCTATGGCTCAACATTTGGACAGGTAAGTAGGATGTTCAAAGGGTGTGGTCCTTAGATCTACAAATATCCAGGCATTGTGACATATTCTGAAGGTTAATCTGCTCACCTTCATGCTGGGAAGACATGAACATGTTGATTTAGTCTTTAAGAAGGAAGACTGGGCAGTTTTAAATTTAGACCAACCAGTATCTGCTTTTCCTTCTTTAGATCAGAACCATTGTAAATTCTTGGGAGAAGAGAATTGAGGAGTTGGACTTGACATTGAGGAAAGTGTGAAGGTAAGGATAATTTAACTAAGAAATGTCTTTCAAAACGGCTGAAATTTGGGAGAGTACTGGTATGGAGTGATGGAAAATCAAAAGTAATTTAAAGCCACATATGCTTGTATACACTTTGCTTTGAGAATTAAGGTAAATAGTAAAGTGAAGCCCAGGAAATAGTTCAAATTGGTTTAATGATTAGAATATACAAATGACTTGAAATATGAGTCACTAATTAAGAGCTAGGAATATTTTATTTTGGTGGTGGCTCAAGATGGATTTTTCGTTTAAATTTTTCTGCATGGTATTCACTTTATAGTGAAGTGAAGTGTTTGGTTGAGATTGCACCAAGAAAATTATAGAATCTCTTTGGGCTATTTTGAGTTCTCTCCTCTTTCTGTGCACTGACCTGGTCTGTAGTTTAAGTGGCTTTGGTTAATAGGAATTAACACCTAACACCTGATTTAGATCTTGAGCTTTGCCCGATATTATCCTTAAGTGCTAGAGTTTAAAATGTTTTGGGTGGTGTGAGTATGTGTGTATGTCAGGGGGTGGTCAGCAAAGAGGAGCCAATGAGGGTGTCAGAAGTTGTTTCTTGTCTTAGCGCTGGGGGTGGTGATATTTGGCATCATTAGGAGCAGAGGGGTTTTTTGGATGGGGAGGAGTATAAATTTGTAGGATGAATGGCAGCTGGATGCCAGTAGATTGAATCTTGAAGCCCATCATTTTAGGTCTGCCTGAACACTTTCCCCACGAGATTACCAAAGTGGTGAGACTGAGCAGGGAGGGGATGTTGAGGGAGGACCTTTCGGTTCGCTATCCTGGTGATTTTCCCTCAGGTTCCTGCTGGCTGTTTGGCAGATATGTTCTGCTCTGTGGTAGGGGAAAGCCCTGTGTTCTCCTTCCAAGTGCAATGTGTCTGCTTTTTGGATTGAGATCTAATTAAATTCTGGACTACTTGGTGTTTACAAGCAGTGAGTTGCTCCTGCAGGAAATAGTAAATCAGGAAACAAAAGATGGATAGAAAATGGTATTCTAGGAGTTAAGAGTGAAGTGACGTTTGAGAATCTGAGGGATTGTTTTTTTCTTTCCAATGAAAGTGAAATAAAGAGAATGTCATTTTTATTGCCAGAAGCAACTGGGTCTATTGGGTCCAGCCAGGCAAATATAGCAAAGCTGCTTTGACTTCATTTTTTTTGCGTCTTTTAAACAGAGAAAGATTGGAAACATCAGATTGCTGCAGATTAAAAGGCAAAAGATACAGAAGTTCTATAACTGATGGAGGAACAAGGAGTCATTTCTTTCCCCACTCTGATCATCTCAAAATCTTTCAACTATTCCCCATTGCTTGCTATCACATCCTAATGGCTGTGCTGAAATATATTGGTCCATTCAGCCCTTGCAGTAGCAGGAACCTGTTAGCTGGTCATTAATGTGGGTCAGGAGGATTATTTGACCTAGAGATACACATTCAGAGATTTTCATGTTATCTCCAATGTAGGCAATATGTTTTATATGTGTGTTCAAAGTATTTATTAGGAAAGTCTAAACATTTAATAGCAACTACAGTTTTGTAACTCTGTTTTGGAATTTTCATCCTTTTTTCATATATCAGGAGCCTCAAAAAACAAAACAAAACAAAACAAAACCCAGATGGCCCAGGCCCCTAATCTCTGAGAGGCCCCAGCTGCCTGCGACATAGGCTCTCACAATACAGTAGTGGACATAGAGGCCAAAGGAGAAGGCAGACTTCTAGTGACTAAATCACACAGAGAATTCATTAAAGTGAGAACTGGGTACCTTGAGAAGGTATAAGATGGGCCCTCTCCTGCCTGGGCCATGAGGGAGGATTTCCCCAGGCAGATAAAACTGAAGAGGCTAGGGGAAGTCAGCCAAGTTTGGGGCAGGAGAGGGTTGACATAGGCAGCAGAAGCAGTAGGTCTTAATAACCAATTAGTTTTTAGGGACACAGGTGGACTCTAGGATGATTGTCATATTTTGAGTTTGGGCAAGTGGGTGAATGGTGAGTGGGTTACCAAGATAGGTAAGTGGGGGAGAAACTGTTTTCTGGTAATGGGTTGGGGAAGGGTAGGATGATTAATTCAATTTTCTGGTATGTTGAGTAAGCGTGGCCTTTGAAACATCAGAGTAGAGATGTTGTATAAATATGTGATCCTGTAGTATAAGAAGGGCTTAGTTACTCTTGTTAACTTAGAGCTTCACAGTGTATAAGGCACTATCCAGGTTCAGGGGGAACAGAAGAATAGATTCATGGTCTCTGCTTTCAAGGAGCTTATTCTCTAATTGTAGTCAAGGAGTTAAATAACCACAGAAGATTCTAGTAACTCTCCAAGACAAGAGCGGAGGAGAAATGTTACAGGCAGCCCTTGAATGATTGCTAAGTGAATTGTGTAAGTGCTTCTTGCTTTTCTGCAGTTGGTACCCAAGTAGAATTGTTCATCTGGTTTTACTTTCATAGTTTGAGATGGGTTGAGGATAACATGAGTTTGTTTCATAGTACAGGAGGTTATTTGCTTTGGAATAACTTATCTTAATTTTATGTGGTAGAAAATTTATTTGTCTTATTTTACAGAGGAGGAAACTGAGGCATGGAGAGGTTAAATAACTTGCTCAAAGTCATGTAGCAGGTTAATGGTAAGGTTGGGATTCTGATCTAATCAGTTGGAATCCAAAGTCCTCTTTCCTCAGTTTTTTCAAAATCCTGTTCTCTTTACTAAATGTATCCCCTATCATTTAAGTTATTTGAAAGATTTATTTTTAGTGGCTGCAAAATTTATTTAATCATTCTCCTAATTTTAGACATATATATTGTTTCTGATTTGGCACCTGTATTTCTGGTTATATCTTTAGGATAAATTCTTGGAAGTGGATTTCCTGTACCAAAGAATATAAAATCCTTCAGGATCCTTAAGAACACATCTTTTCCCAGAAAAATTCTTTTCCAGAAAAGTTCAAACAATTTACAGTCTAGATGTGCTTTTCAATCCCACGTAGGAGTATTTTTCAACCAGTGGTTGCCTAAGCCAAGACAAATAAGAGGACTGAGTAACACTATGATAAAGATGGTGGTCAGGGTAGTGAATTACAGATGCTGTTAGGAGCAGGAAAGAACTCCAAGTGTCATCTAGGCCACTCCCTTTTGTTAATTAAGAGCCAAGGCTCAGAGAGGTTAAGGGACATGGTTCAAACCATACCTCTAATTAGTGTCAGAGTAGACGCTGCATTTAGCACTATGTAATAAGTTAGCAGAGTCTCTTGGAGGGTTTGGATGGTTTAGGTGTGTGCTGAAGTGTCCATTTGGAGTCGCAACTGCAGATTTAAGACACTCTGAGTCAGCTTCATAGTTCCTCCTTGAAACTTCACAGTTGTGACAAAGGGATGTGGAATTAACCCAAAGGGGTCTGCCTGGTACTGAGAAGTCCAGTACCCACCCAAGGATATAAAGAACTCGTCTGGGCCAGGGTGTATCCTGAGATCCCCTTGCATGAGTTCTCCTGCATCTGGCCTACTGTTAGATACATAGGGATGATTCTGAACTCTCTCTTTGTTATTCTGTAGGTGGTGTAATATGTTTGAACAAAGAGCTGCTCACATAATTCAAGACTGGTTTTCTATAGCACTGACCAAAAAAAGGAGGATATTTCTGTTTCTTATTGCTCTATCATGTAGCGATGGTATAAACAGAATTTATAATTTGATTTGTCTTGGTATCCATCTGGAAAGGATGGGTTAGGCTGTTAAACCTCAACATTTCAGTGACTTAATACAATAAAGGGTTGTTTTTTGTAAAAATTAGATGCAGGCTGGTTGACTATCTTCTATGCTGCTGATATGCCGTGCCAAGTTTGTTAAGGCAGGGAAAAGAGAGTGAAGGGGGTCATGTAGGCTCTTAACAGACTTAGCCTGGAAGTGACAAATGCCATGGTCCATTGGCCAGAACTAGAAACATGGTTCTGATTCAAATGGAGAAGAGGCTGGGGAAAGTGTGTGGACGAATACACAGGTATTTGATGTGCACTAATGGTCTCTTCCACACACATGATGCTTGATACTTTGAGATTACCTACTTTATTTTATTTTTTTATTTAAATTTTTTAACATTTTTTATTAAGAGATTACCTACTTTAAAAAATTGTAGGCAATTTTCTATCATTTCAAGTTTTAAACATAAAGGTAGAACTTTTCTAGTACTTTCAAACATGCTTAAAGTGTAACTGTTGGTTGAGTACATACTGTGATTTTAAGAAATCTTTTGAGATCCCTATTAAAAGAATGAAACTTTTTTCTTAATAGTTGTGAGATTCAGGCAAGTCATTTACCTTCTCTAAACCTATATCCCTATTGAAAGTGTGATTTAACCCCTCATTCATGGCTATGTTGTGAAAATTAGGTTAGAGATCGCATGTAAAACATTTGCCACAATACCTAGACAAAAGTCACAGCTGGACAGATGTGAATTTTTCTTCTTGTTGGCACTGCTGATATTGTAGCGGATCTCCTGCTGTCTATATGGGGTCCTCCGAATCAGTGGTGTATCCATAATCACCAGAAGACAACGTATTTTATGGGAATAAGCAATGTTTTGGCAAAGTGCTAGAAACGGAATGTCTTTATCTTCTATATGTTCTTGTTTTGGTAGTCATGGGGAGTTTCAAAGGCCATGCTGTCCCTGGCACCTTCTTCTGTCTCATCAGTATTTGGTGGACTGTACGATGCATTCTGAAATACACTTTCAAAAAGCACAAGCGGACTTCCTTCCTTGATTCCAAAGCATTATTCCATCGAATAGAAATTTTGGAGGGGATCATAATAGTTGGAATGGCTCTAACTGGTAAGTGAACCATTTCTGTGTTCTGTTTTCTTTCTTGGGTATTTTCACATGCAAAAAGAAGATTCAATCTCAAAACCAGAAATTGCCAAAATGAATTTTTTATTCAAAAATATCTCTGAATACATATTCTAATTATAATTTCTATCTAATGTAATTTATTAGAAGGCAATGCTTCGTATTTATACAAAGGCCTATTCCTTAATGAATTAGTCACAGCAACTAACTTGCCTGCCCACTCAAGGTGAATTTCCTTTATAGAATTAGGTGGAGCTTTTAAAACAATTTTGTCAATTATTCTGATGCCTGAAAGAGTAAACTGTATCAGAAACCATTTATAATCAAGTGACTACGGGGGGGCTTCAAAAATAAATTGTTGCAATAATAAATTGCTGATGGGCTGAACAGAGGGTTCAGAGTGAACCCTTATCTTCTGCACTCATCCTTTTTGTGTGAGTACTAGCTTAGAGAGATTGGACCAGATGACTTGTAAGGCCTTTCCATTGGCTATAAGATTCTGTAAAAATGTTCTGTGTTTTTAGAGTTCCTTTTCAGCCTCTCCTTTATGAAAGGCAAAACTTCCTAATTTCCCTTTGGATTTCCTCATGCTTTGTTCATGGTGATAGGTCTTTGCCACACACAACCATCAAATTACAGACCAACCATTTCCAAAGAGAGGAATTTCCTTGCCAAATTCTACAGATTTACAAATAAAGCATCTTTAAGAAAGCTTACCTGTTTGTGTAACTGACTAGACTATATGCTTTATCTGTCTGTGCTTTCTCAGTTATCCTTCATTGGGGAGAAGCTGAACTCTAGCATTTTTATCCTGAATCGTGCACAACTCTCTACCAAAAGACGTAGTGTGCAAGAGGGAAGTAATCAGCCTCTAAAGGACTAATCTCGCAAATCTGAATCCCAAATTATTCAGGATTTATCTAGTGATTAGATTAAAACAGTAACTAATATCATCAGTGGAACTGATCATGGAACTAAGTAGAACTAAGATCATTAGCTTTGAAGATCTGAAATAGCTGTTGGACTAAATTGGTTATCTTTGACTAAAAGTGATTATCTGAACCATTATTTGAAGCTCCAAAACAAGCCTAAAGAATCAGTGCTCAGCTGTTAGGGAGCAGCCCAGAAAGAAGACTCAATGTCATGAAAGGACACTCTATTGGACTAAGCAGGAGGCTGATCCTTCTGCATCTCCCTGTTTTGTCAGTAAAGTTATGGAGAAGGCTGCTAACACTGTGATATGTTCCTCTGCAGGGATGCTTGGAGAACAGTTTATTCCTGGAGGACCCTATCTGACCTTATATGATTATAAAGAGGGCCAGTGGGTCCAACTCATGGGCTGGCATCATTGTACCATGTACTTCTTCTTTGGGCTAATGGGTGTGTCAAAGATCTTATGTTCCACCATCAGGTCACTTCCTATCTCCATAACCAAGTTAATGCTTTCAATTGCCTTACTTGTGGAGGGTAAGTATGAGTGAGTATTTTTCATACACCTTTCACTATTATTGGACATCTATCTAGCCCTTTATAATAATATTCCCTTAGTGTCCTGGGGCAGCCTTGATCCAAAGGGCCATCTGTTTGGACCATAGTGAGCTATTGAGATGTCCTAGACAGGATGCCAAAGATTTTCCCTCCCTACTGACTCATTTAGTACAACTAGACAAGCACAATCATTCAGTGTGCTTTATTCACATTTCATATCCTTCTTAAATAACCACCTACCATGGTTATTTATCTCTGGTTTATCCTGGAGATTATCATTATTCCATTTTTAACAAGTAAAACTGAGCTCAGAGTAGTGAAGCATGAACACCCTCAAACGAGGAGACCACTCACAGCAGAGTAGCTTCCACACCTACAAACTATCCTTTACTAATATTAATATAGTAAAACTCCAACATGACATGATAAGTAGGGTCCAAAAAATTCAGTCACATGAAAATGAGGTCATACCATTTTTTGTTCAGTTGGCCTCTCTGTTACTGTATAGGGAAATCATGAAAACAAGTATTCAATGATTTGTTTTTATGTATTTCATATGTAAGGAATAGATTGATGCCAGGACTAAAAAAGCCCCAAATTACCAGGAGGCAGTTATTTCCTGATGTTCACCTTGTATCTTTGTATCTAAAGATAAGAGCTTTTGCGAAACACTCTTTGAGAACACATCTAAAGATAAGAGCTTTTGCAAAACACTCTTTGAGAACAAGAGCTGGATAAACATTGGGCACCAACAACCAATAGCATGACTCTCATTATCTCAGGGTGTTACTCTATTTTGAATGAACATCTTTCCCATCTCATCTAAATGGAAAGGGTGGAGATGAAGCTGGAATCTCTCCATGGGATTAAAAAATGTAGTTAGTTACTACTTCTTGGGAGCTTCCAGAGTAACTTACCATACCCATCAAAGTCCAGTTTTATGATTTGTGCATTTATTTGCTGCCTACAGGGGACTGAATTCCAGAGGCCAGACTTGGTCTCATTCTTCTGTGTATTGACCCTAATTCTCACTCCCCTGCCTCCATCATGATGAATAATAATTCATCCTCTTGCATAGAAGATGCCTTGAAATATGATTAGTTGGGAATGTCATAATGTGTTGGAGGAGAGAATAAAAATTGGAGAAGGGAAAAAGAGATTTCAGATTCCAACCTAAAGAGATGGTGATTGCAAGAGGTTTCCATTATTGTGGGAAGCAGTGAGCACCTGATATTCGGGACAAACTTGTGTCTGTAAAGTTCTGTGGTGCATGCGCCTGGAGAGGGAGAGAGAGAGAGAGACAGAGGGAGAGAGAGAGAGAGAGAGGGAGAGAGAGAGAGAGAGAGAGAGGGAGAGAGATGGAGGGAGGAAGAGAGAGAAACAGTAGGTATGCCTTGGTTTCACTGAAAAAGCCATTTTTTTTCTCCCTCTATCAGCTTTTGTCTTCTACAACCACACTCATGGCCGGGAAATTCTGGACATCTTTGTGCACAAGCTTCTGGTCTTGATCATCTTTTTGGCAGGCCTGGTTGCCTTCATAGAGCTCTTCGTACATGCTAATATCACCGTGGAGCTTCTGCGGATAAGTCTGGTCTTCCTCCAGGGCAGCTGGTTCTTTCAGGTAAGTTTGAGGGCTCCAGTTAATGTTCTTGGTGATTCCACCTGTAACCTTCTCTCTTTAATTGGTGGGCATTTTTCTCTAGACCCCAGAAACTTCCTTTTGATGTGCTGCTTATTATAGTGAGAATGCGGGCCTTTGAGAGGTGATATTTCTTTGAGTGTCTCAGCGGCCCGGTGGGAGCGTTGACAGAGCAGCAGGGAAGGTGGGGGGGGGGGGAGGTGTGCCTGTCTTCGTCACACACCCGAGTATCCATTATGTAGGAACTTGGAGCTGGTGCTTTTAGCTGGAAGCAGTTCCTGATGCCCAAGCAGCTTAAAGCCTAATGGGTGTAGCAACATGGATGGACCTAGAGATCATCACACTGAGTGAAGTAAGTCAGGCAAAGAAAGACAAATATTGTGTGATATCACTTATATGTGGAATCTAAAAAAAAAAAAGATACAAAGGAACTTATTTACAAGACAGATAGACTCATAGATATAGAAAACAAACTTATGGTTGCCAAAGGGGAAAGGAGGAAGAGGATAAATTTGGAATTTGGGATTAACAGACATATACTACTATATATGAAATAGATAAACCATGAGACCTACTGTATTACACAGGGAACTGTATTCAGTATCTTATAGTAACTTATAATGGAAAAGAATCTTGTATCTCAATTAATGAACAAATATTTTATAGGCTGATAAATTATAATCTGACATTCATATGTATATATTAAGAAAGTCCTGGATGAAAGGTGAATGTGGTTTAATCAGGGGAGTTTTCTTAGAGGAGATTTTAGTCCCCAGAGAGTAGGGGTTTGGGGAGATGAGGTTATTTCAGGGATTTTAGTTAAGCGTGATAAGAATGCATTGGTAGGTGCAGGAGAGAAATGTCATGGTCAAAACGGGATAGGAAAGATGTCATATTCAAGCGTGTAGGGGAGGAGGAAGGCTGTTGCAGCAGAGGCTAGTAAAGAGTGACTAGATATAGTTATTGTGAAGGAGAAATGATATAGAAAAAAATAACGAGTATCTTATAATGCGATAAAATTGATCACTAGTAAATTTAACCAGCTTGTACGCAGAAGTTATTTTGTGAGATTATCATCTGCTTGGGAAGCTAAGTAGAAAGGGATGTAAAACACAATTGTGCATTCCATATGTCCTGATTGGAATATTTTACTATGTGTACATATTGCCTATTCAAAAATGAAAATAAAATTTTAAAAATTTAAAAGAGGTAACTTCTGGTCAGGATGACATGGTGAGTTTATGCTTCAGTATATCTCCTCTGCTCCAGACAGATAACAATGACAGATAAAGCATCAAAAATACCTAGGAAATAAAAAAGAAATTAAGAGAAACGTAAATAAAAAATAAAGTAAAAAAAAAAACCTAGCTGCAATTAAACAACACAGACAAAAACAGGGCAAACCATGCTGAGGACCAGATACAGAGTAGAAATGCACAGCCAGGGTAGAGCTGGGCTGCAAGTCCAGAGCAGACTGTGACGATTGGGTGTTTGGCTCCAGAACTAAAAGGAAATTAAAAGTTCCTCTTGATGTGGGGGATGAAGCCAGGCTCTTGGAACTCTTTAATTATGTGGTTTATATAACCTCGATTCCTAATTGCTTGTCATCCAGTTGATCTTTCACTTTCTATTAGAAGTCTGCTAAAATTTTATATTGTTGTTGTGGATTTGTCAGTTTCTTCTTATTTTTGGTTTTTGCTTTAATGTTATGAGACTGTATTCTACTTATCTTTTTCTAGGTTTTTGAGTTGAAGTTTCATTTTTTTCTTCTCAATCTTGTTGTGTTTAAATAAGTACACATAAGGTTATAGATTTCCCTCCACACATTACTGCAGCTACCTCCCACGAGACTTGATGTGCCATAGCTTTCACTCTTGGGCAGTTCTGAATGTTACATTCTCCATGTGCTTTCCTCTTTAATTTATGAGTTATTTAGGACTGTGCTTTTAAGTTTCCAAAAATATTCTTTTTCTTTTTATTGTCTGTTTTCAATTGCATTGCTTTGTAGCCAGAGAACGTGTTCTCTTTGAAATGTGTTGAGACTTCCTGTGGGATGGAGCCCAATGTTAGTGAGAGTAAATGTTCCATGTGTTTGGAAAGAAAGTGTATTCTGTCTTTGTTGGGTTCAGGATTCTCTGTATATATCCACCAAATCAAATTTGTTAAAGAGCTAAATATTCAAGTGAAGAGATTAGAAAGTAAGAACAAAAGGGAGGAAACCCGAAGAGAGTTGAAGAAAGGGGTAATAAAGATAAGAGCAGAATAGTGAAACTAATCAGCGTTCCATTAATAATTAGTGATTAAATATCCGAGGGAGGAAGCGGTGGGTTATCATAACTAAGAACAGGCTGGCTTGATGTTGTCCCTTTAGGCAGAGAAATAATGTTTTCATATTTCCCCAAGAGTTTTTCTAAGGGAGAGCTATGAGATTAAAGTCCTTGGGCATCAGTGAAATTATTTGAAAAATTTTCCAATTGTCTGTATGTCTAGACTAATATCTTTTTTCCACCTGGTGACCAGAATAAATAATGTTTGGAGACTTAAAGAAAAATGAACGTTTAATACCAATGCAAACACACACACTGGCAGGAAATGAAGGTTTAGCCATAGTACCTCTCCCCGTGACCCCTTCGATTCCTCTGAAACAACTATGTCTGGGGACTTAGGCGGATTTATTATGCTTCCGCGTTTTTTTTTTGGCTATGTGTAGTGTCTGAATGTTTATGGCCAAAACTCTATGTTAGGCGAATAATATTACATTGTGATTTGCTTTTCACCATATTTCTTCTCTTGCTATTTCTCCATACACTGTTAATACTAGTGCATAAACAGTATATAAACAGATTAGAGAAAGAGCATAGTTAGATTCTTGGAACCATAAGTATGGAGACGTGAACCAAATGAGGCAAATGCTCACATTGGACACATTTTTTACAACTCATATATGCATGATTAGGTAATAGACAAACCTAGAGGGAATTAATTCCCATCCCAACCTGTATCAGTGATTTCCTTCCTGAACCACATTATAGCCAAATATGTTTTCTAAAAAGCCTAACCACATCATGCAATTTAAAAAAGAAAAAAAAAATCCCTTAAGCCCACTGATTCCATGAATCGTGTTTTCTCTGAGGCTCTGCATGGGAGAATATTTCTGAAGCTCACTTTTGCACTCTGTCGTTCCCAAGTTCCTGCCCTTTGTTGTCAGAGCTGCAAGGCACAATCAGAGAACAAGGAAGACTCACTTGCTGCTGCATCTCACAATTTTGGGCAATTGCTTCTGTAGCATCTCCCAGCTCCACTCATTGCCCCAGCAGCTCCCAGAACCCCCAGATCCCCGGGCCCAAACTGAAACTCAGCCTTGCCTTACCTTTAAGAAAGATAAAAGTTCATTCAAAAATGACAAAAAGACCCAACTATGCAGCAGTGGTCTGAGGTCTGATATGGTAGATCAAACACTTGCTTAGGCTTATAGTGTTGACATAAGTGATGAGAGAGGAAGATATAAAACACTAGGAAATGCAGACTAACCTATAGTGGGCCCCTGACGTGTTACCTGTTAGAGAAGATAATTATTTACATTTTAAATGGGATACTAGTGAAGCTTAAATGAGTCAAAAACAGATGTTCAGAAGTGGCATATGAGATACAACAACAAAAAAAGTTCTTTTTCAAGCCTTTTATTTTTTCTTGGAATTTTACATGAGGAAGCAAATTACAACAGCAGATGAAAGAGAAGTGACTGATTTTTTTTTTACTGATTTTTATATTGAAAGGAGGATTTAATGAATTGTGGCATTATCTGACCTTATTTTTCAGCTTTCCTAATTTACTTGGTTTTAGCCTGAAATGACTTTGGAACGTTTCTATGGCTTTCAGTATAAGCACATCCGTTAACTCTGTCCACAGGCTTCACAGTGGCCTTTGGTCAAATCTTTAGCTTTTACAAAATACCAGGTTCCGAGGGTCCTAATGAGAGTAGCAGGGGCATGGGGAGGGGTGCTCAAATTTCTCTTTTCCTGGTGTAAGACAGTGAACATTTGGACTGGTAGAAATGTTGATGACTGATGGAGGTGACTTAGGACAGATTTTTATTTTAGAAGTTCCAAAAAACCATTGTGACTGTGGCGTGGAAGGAAAAGCCTGTGAGCCTCTAGGTCGGGCAGACCTGGATCTGAATTCTAGTTCTACCATATTAATCACATGCCCCTAGACTAGCTATTCTATGCGTTTAGGGTTCCTCAACTGAAAAATAACGTCTCATGAGATTGTTGCTAGGATGAAACATTACAACCTGAAAGTACATCATGCCCCAAGGAGATATTGTTAATTCCATAGGAAGAGGGTTAAGAAAGCTCCCAGGAGAAGGTAGACTTGAGTTGGGATTTGAAAGCTGATTGAGAGTCACCAGTGTGTCCAGGCTTGAGCTTTAGGACAGGTGATACCTGTGTTAGTGTCCTAGGGCTGCGATGACAAATTCCCACAAACAAGAAGACTTCAAACAATAGAAATTTATGCTTTCACTGTTCTGGAGGCTAGAAGTTTAAAAGTCAAGGTGTCAGCATGTTGGTTTTTTCTTGAGACCCCAAGAAAAGGGAGAATTTGTTCCATGCTGCTCTCCTAGCTGGTTGCCAGCAATCGTTGACTTTCTTGCCTTGTTGGCAGCGTAACCCCAATCTCCTGCCTCCATAGTCACACCTGTGTGTTTCTTTGTATCTGTGTCATCACATGGCCTCTTATAAAGGCACCAGTCTTTGGATTTAGGGCCAGTTCTGATGTCTGACCTCATCTTAACTTGATGACATTTGCAAAGACCCTGAGTCCCATTAAGGCCACATTCACAGGTATCAGGGGTTAGGACTTCAATGTGCCCTTTTGGAGGGCACAATTTAGCCTGCAGCGACTGCTGACCCTTCCCTCTGGGAGCTGGAGGAAATCACTCTCCAAGCAGGGGTAGACGGGTTGTGTGGATGGCGTTGAAG